AGATGACTGACTGAGATGACTGAGATGACTGACTGAGATGACTGAGATGACTGGCTGAGATGACTGAGATGACTGGCTGAGATCACTGACTGAGATGACTGAGATGACTGACTGAGATGACTGAGATGACTGACTGAGATGACTGAGATGACTGAGATGACTGGCTGAGATCACTGACTAAGATGACTGAGATGACTGACTGAGATGACTGAGATGACTGGCTAATGCACCACCTGTGCCCCCTACTGTGGCAGGCTAGGTGCACCAGGTCATGGGGCAGACCCAGCAGGTGCCACGGGTCGACTGACTGAGATGACTGAGATGACTGACTGAGATGACTGAGATGACTGAGATGACTGGCTGAGATGACTGAGATGACTGAGATGACTGACTGAGATGACTGAGATGACTGACTGAGATGACTGAGATGACTGGCTGAGATGACTGAGATGACTGACTGAGATGACTGACATGACTGAGATGACTGGCTGAGATGACTGAGATGACTTACTGAGATGACTGAGATGACTGGCTGAGATGACTGAGATGATATAGATGACTGAGATGACTGGCTGAGATGACTGAGATGACTGGCTGAGATGACTGAGATGACTGAGATGACTGGCTGAGATGACTGAGATGACTGGCTGAGATGACTGAGATGACTGACTGAGATGACTGACTGAGATGACTGAGATGACTGAGATGACTGGCTGAGATGACTGAGATGACTGATATGACTGAGATGACTGACTGAGATGACTGAGATGACTGGCTGAGATGACTGAGATGACTGGCTGAGATGACTGAGATGACTGACTGAGATGACTGAGATGACTGGCTGAGATGACTGACTGAGATGACTGTGAAGACTGACTGAGATGACTGAGATGACTGGCTGAGATGACTGAGATGACTGACTGAGATGACTGAGATGATATAGATGACTGAGATGACTGGCTGAGATGACTGAGATGACTGGCTGAGATGACTGAGATGACTGACTGAGATGACTGAGATGACTGACTGAGATGACTGAGATGACTGGCTGAGATGACTGAGATGACTGAGATAATATAGATGACTGAGCTGACTGAGATGACTGACTGAGATGACTAGATGACTGGCTGAGATGACTGAGATGACTGAGATGACTGACTGAGATGACTGAGATGACTGACTGAGATGACTGAGCTGACTGAGATGACTGACTGAGATGACTGAGATGACTGACTGAGATGACTGAGATGACTGGCTGAGATAACTGAGATGACTGACTGAGATCACTGAGATGACTGACTGAGATGACTGAGATGGCTGACTGAGATGACTGAGCTGACTGAGATGACTGACTGAGATGACTGGCTGAGATGACTGAGATGACTGACTGAGATGACTGAGATGACTGGCTGAGATGACTGAGATGACTGGCTGAGATGACTGAGATGACTGACTGAGATGACTGAGATGACTGGCTGAGATGACTGAGATGACTGAGATAACTGACTGAGATGACTGAGATGACTGACTGAGATGACTGAGATGACTGACTGAGATGACCGAGATGACGGAGATGACTGAGATGACTGGCTGAGATGACTGAGATGACTGGCTGAGATGACTGAGATGACTGAGCTGACTGACTGAGATGACTGAGATGACTGAGATGACTGGCTAATGCACCACCTGTGCCCCCTACTGTGCCAGGCTAGGTGCACCAGGAGGTCACGGGGCAGACCCAGCAGGTGCCACGGGTCGACTGACTGAGATGACTGAGATGACTGGCTGAGATGGCTGAGATGACTGAGATGATGTAGATGACTGAGATGACTGAGATGACTGACTGAGATGACTGAGATGACTGGCTGAGATGACGAAGATGACTGGCTGAGATGACTGAGATAACTGACTGAGATGACTGAGATGACTGGCTGAGATGACTGAGATGACTGGCTGAGATGACTGAGATGACTGAGATGACTGGCTGAGATGACTGAAATGACTTACTGAGATGACTGGCTGAGATGACTGAGATGACTGACTGAGATGGCTGAGATGACTGAGATGACTGAGATGACTGACTGAGATGGCTGAGATGACTGAGATGACTGGCTGAGATGACTGAGATGACTGACTGAGATGGCTGAGATGACTGGCTGAGATGACTGACTGAGATGACTGAGATGGCTGAGATGACGAAGATGACTGACTGAGATGACTGAGATGACTGACTGAGATGACTGAGCTGACTGAGATGACTGACTGAGATGACTGAGATGACTGAGATGACTGACTGAGATGACTGAGATGACTGAGATGACTGAGATGACTGGCTGAGATGACTGACTGAGATGACTGAGCTGACTGAGATGACTGACTGAGATGACTGAGATGACTGGCTGAGATGACTGAGATGACTGACTGAGATGACTGAGATGACTGGCTGAGATGATTGAGATGACTGGTTGAGATGACTGAGATGACTGACTGAGATGACTGACTGAGCTGACTGAGATGACTGAGATGACTGGCTGAGATGACTGAGATGACAGACTGAGATGACTGAGATGACTGAGATGACTGGCTGAGATGACTGGCTGAGATGACTGAGATGACTGACTGAGATGACTGACTGAGATGACTGAGATGACTGACTGAGATGACTGAGATGACTGGCTGAGATGACTGAGATGACTGGCTGAGCTGACTGACTGAGATGACTGAGATGACTGACTGAGATGACTGAGATGACTGACTGAGATGACTGAGATGACTGAGATGACTGGCTGAGATGACTGACTGAGATGACTGAGATGACTGACTGAGATGACTGAGATGACTGGCTAATGCACCACCTGTGCCCCCTACTGTGGCAGGCTAGGTGCACCAGGTCATGGGGCAGACCCAGCAGGTGCCACGGGTCGACTGACTGAGATGACTGAGATGACTGACTGAGATGACTGAGATGACTGACTGAGATGACCGAGATGACGGAGATGACTGAGATGACTGGCTGAGATGACTGAGATGACTGGCTGAGATGACTGAGATGACTGAGCTGACTGACTGAGATGACTGAGATGACTGAGATGACTGGCTAATGCACCACCTGTGCCCCCTACTGTGCCAGGCTAGGTGCACCAGGAGGTCACGGGGCAGACCCAGCAGGTGCCACGGGTCGACTGACTGAGATGACTGAGATGACTGGCTGAGATGGCTGAGATGACTGAGATGATGTAGATGACTGAGATGACTGAGATGACTGACTGAGATGACTGAGATGACTGGCTGAGATGACGAAGATGACTGGCTGAGATGACTGAGATAACTGACTGAGATGACTGAGATGACTGGCTGAGATGACTGAGATGACTGGCTGAGATGACTGAGATGACTGAGATGACTGGCTGAGATGACTGAGATGACTTACTGAGATGACTGGCTGAGATGACTGAGATGACTGACTGAGATGGCTGAGATGACTGAGATGACTGAGATGACTGACTGAGATGGCTGAGATGACTGAGATGACTGGCTGAGATGACTGAGATGACTGACTGAGATGGCTGAGATGACTGGCTGAGATGACTGACTGAGATGACTGAGATGGCTGAGATGACGAAGATGACTGACTGAGATGACTGAGATGACTGACTGAGATGACTGAGCTGACTGAGATGACTGACTGAGATGACTGAGATGACTGAGATGACTGAGATGACTGAGATGACTGGCTGAGATGACTGAGATGACTGACTGAGATGACTGAGCTGACTGAGATGACTGACTGAGATGACTGAGATGACTGGCTGAGATGACTGAGATGACTGACTGAGATGACTGAGATGACTGGCTGAGATGATTGAGATGACTGGTTGAGATGACTGAGATGACTGACTGAGATGACTGACTGAGCTGACTGAGATGACTGACTGAGATGACTGAGATGACTGGCTGAGATGACTGAGATGACAGACTGAGATGACTGAGATGACTGGCTGAGATGACTGGCTGAGATGACTGAGATGACTGACTGAGATGACTGACTGAGATGACTGAGATGACTGACTGAGATGACTGAGATGACTGGCTGAGATGACTGAGATGACTGGCTGAGATGACTGACTGAGATGACTGAGATGACTGACTGAGATGACTGAGATGACTGACTGAGATGACTGAGATGACTGAGATGACTGGCTGAGATGACTGACTGAGATGACTGAGATGACTGACTGAGATGACTGAGATGACTGGCTAATGCACCACCTGTGCCCCCTACTGTGGCAGGCTAGGTGCACCAGGTCATGGGGCAGACCCAGCAGGTGCCACGGGTCGACTGACTGAGATGACTGAGATGACTGACTGAGATGACTGAGATGATTGGCTGAGATGACTGAGATGACTGAGATGACTGACTGAGATGACTGAGATGACTGGCTGAGATGACTGAGATGACTGACTGAGATGACTGACATGACTGAGATGACTGGCTGAGATGACTGAGATGACTTACTGAGATGACTGAGATGACTGGCTGAGATGACTGAGATGATATAGATGACTGAGATGACTGGCTGAGATGACTGAGATGACTGGCTGAGATGACTGAGATGACTGGCTGAGATGACTGAGATGACTGGCTGAGATGACTGAGATGACTGAGATGACTGACTGAGATGACTGACTGAGATGACTGAGATGACTGGCTGAGATGACTGAGATGACTGATATGACTGAGATGACTGAGATGACTGACTGAGATGACTGAGATGACTGGCTGAGATGACTGAGATGACTGAGATGACTGACTGAGATGACTGAGATGACTGACTGAGATGACTGACTGAGATGACTGACTGAGATGACTGAGATGACTGAGATGACTGGCTGAGATGACTGAGATGCCTGGCTGATGCACCACCTGTGCCCCCCTACTGTGCCACCCTGCTGTGCTTCAGCCACCCGACGACAAATACAGACACACACACAGACACAACTTGCACTTTGAAACACCATTTAATAGCAAAATCCTTATCATTCTTAGTAGTAATAAGCGCCAAATAACGCACACACACGCACGCACAGTTTCCAGATATATATATTTTTTTTCTGAGACCATTCGCTAACTAACCTACTGCTTAAGCCCTAAGCCGCGCGAATCTTTATCGTCTTAATATTTATAGCAAAACACCTTGAGGGCATCGTAGTAAAAATAGCGCGTGTGATAATAAAGCTTCTCTGCCCGCCCTCGTTGAGATTTTAAAAGAAAGTCTCCTCGTAAAATATTGGACGTATTTTTAGCCCCCTAAATAATATTAATAATAACAACAAACGATAATAATAATATATTCTCTTTTACATCAGGCAGTATCTCAAGACACCCTAAAAAAAAAGAAAGCCCTTTTTTTTGCCTCATCTCCGTGGCCACCTAAAAATCGACCTGAGGACCCCTGTGAAACGAAGGGGTGGGGGAGGGGGAGGAAGGGGTCCTTGAAGAGAGTGGCGGGGGGGAGGGGGAAGGGGACTATAAAACTGGACCAATCAGAGTGCAGAGTCCCTGTCATGTGACTGCTCCACGTGGTCAAAGTAATCCGAACGATGAAGGCGATGTAATCGGATTACTTTCGAGCCCGAATCGTCCGTTTTCCTTTGGTTACTTTGCCATTAAAAGTAATCCGAGTGCACGGGCAGTGGACCCGGTCATGATTGCCGAGAAACGTTAACGACCGAGCGAATGCGATGACCTCATCACCAAGTGAAGTTCATTAACTAGTCATCTGATCACCTGACACTCGAGAAAATCCGATTACCGGCTAATCAAGTAATCCGATTACCTGATAGGCTAGTCGTGTTGCTAATTAGTAATTTGATTACCTGATACGCTAGTAATCAAGTTACTTGATAATCTAGTTATATTATTAATTAGTAATCCAAATACCTGATACGCTAGTAATCCGATTACCCAATAATATAGCAATCTGATTGATTAGTAATCTGATTACTAGATTACGCAGTAAACCGATTACCTGATAAATCTAGTCATCTGATGTATGAGTAATCTGAATAGCTGCTAAACTATTGATCTGATACCCTGACAATCTGACCAGCTAGTAGTGATTACTTTTCATAGCCTGATTACTGATTAATACAGTGGCCTGAACAACTAGTAACATTACTGGCTAGTTATGGGATTAGCTAGTAACCTGACTATTAAGATCGTCACCTAGTAACATAACTAGTGATCTGATTAACCAGTAATCTGGTGACGTAGTAAACTGACGAGCTAGTTATCTGACTAGCTAGTAACATGACTAGCCAGTAATTTGATTAGCTACTTACAAGACTAGCTAGTAACCTAAATAGCCACTAATCTGGTCACCTAGTAATGTGACTAGCTAGCGATCTGATTATCTAATTATCTGAATAGCGAGTAACCTAAATAGCCACAAATCTGGTCAGCTAGCAATGTGACTAGCTAGCGATCTGATTATCTAATTATCTGAATAGATAGTAACCTAAATAGCCACTAACCTGGTCACCTAGCAATGTGACTAGCTAGCGATCTGATTATCTAATTATCTGAATAGATAGTAACCTAAATAGCCACTGATCTGGTCACCTAGTAATGTGACTAGTTAGCGATCTGATTATCTAATTATCTGAATAGATAGTAACATGAATAGCCACTAATCTGGCCACCTAGCAATGTGACTAGCTAGTGATCAGATGATCTAATTATAAGAATAGATAGTAACCTAAATAGCCACTAATCTGGTCAGATAGCAATGTGACTAGCTAGCGATCTGATTATCTAATTATCTGAGTAGATATAAACTAGAATAGCCACTTATCTGGTCACCTAGCAATGTGACTAGCTAGCGATCTGATTATCTGATTATCTGGATAGTAATCTGAATAGCCACTAATCTGGTCACCTAGCAATGTGACTAGCTAGCGATCTGATTATCTAATTATCTGAATAGATAGTAACCTAAATAGCCACTGATCTGGTCACCTAGCAATGTGACTAGCTAGCGATCTGATTATCTAATTATCTGAATAAATACTAACCTGAATAGCCACTAATCTGGTCACCTAGTCATGTGACTAGCTAGCGATCTGATTATCTAATTATCTGAATATATATATTAACATAAATAGCCACTAACCTGGTCACCTAGCAATGCGACTAGCTAGCGATCTGATTATCTAATTATCTGAATAGATAGTAACGTGACTAGCCACTAATCTGGTCACCTAGTAATGTGACTAGCTAGCGATCTGATTATCTAATTATCTGAATAGATAGTAACGTGACTAGCCACTAATCTGGTAACCTAGTATTGTGATTAGCTAGCGATCTGATTATCTAATTATCTGAATAGATAGTAACGTGAATAGCCACTAATTTGGTAACCTAGTAATGTGACTAGCTAGCGATCTGATTATCTAATTATCTGAATAGATAGTAACCTGAATACCCACTAATCTGGTCAGCTAGCAATGTGACAAGCTAGCGATCTGATTATCTAATTATCTGAATAGATAGTAATCTGACTAGCCAATTATCTCTGGTCACCTAGCAATGTGACTAGCTAGCGATCTGATTATCTAATTATCTGAATAGATACTAACCTGAAGAGCCACTAATCTGGTCAGCTAGCAATGTGACTAGCTAGCGATCTGATTATCTAATTATCTGAATAGATAGTAACATGAATAGCCACTAATCTGGTCAGGTAGTAATGTGACTAGCTAGCGATCTGATTATCTAATTATCTGAATAGATAGTAACCTAAATAGCCACTAATCTGGTCACCTAGTAATGTGACAAGCTAACGATCTGATTATCTAATTATCTGAATAGATAGTAACCTAAATAGCCACCAATCTGGACACCTAGTAATGTGACTAGCTAGCGATCTGATTATCTTATTATCTGAATAGATAGTAACATGACTAGCCACTAATCTGGTCAGCTAGCAATGTGACTAGCTAGCGATCTGATTATCTAATTATCTGAATAGATAGTAACCTGAAAATCCACTAATCTGGACACCTAGTAATGTGACTAGCTAGCGATCTGATTATCTAATTATCTGAATAGATAATAACCTGAAGAGCCACTAATCTGGTCAGCTAGCAATGTGACTAGCTAGCGATCTGATTATCTAATTATCTGAATAGATAGTAACATGAATAGCCACTAATCTGGTCAGGTAGTAATGTGACTAGCTAGCGATCTGATTATCGAATTATCTGAATAGATAGTAACGTGACTAGCCACTAATCTGGTCACCTAGTCAAGTGACTAGCTAGCGATCTGATTATCTAATTATCTGAATATATATTAACATGAATAGCCACTAACCTGGTCACCTAGCAATGTGACTAGCTAGCGATCTGATTATCTAATTATCTGAATAGATAGTAACGTGACTAGCCACTAATCTGGTCACCTAGTAATGTGACTAGCTAGCGATCTGATTATCTAATTATCTGAATAGATAGTAACGTGACTAGCCACTAATCTGGTAACCTAGTATTGTGATTAGCTAGCGATCTGATTATCTAATTATCTGAATAGATAGTAACGTGAATAGCCACTAATTTGGTAACCTAGTAATGTGACTAGCTAGCGATCTGATTATCTAATCATTTGAATAGATAGTAACCTGAATACCCACTAATCTGGTCAGCTAGCAATGTGACAAGCTAGCGATCTGATTATCTAATTATCTGAATAGATAGTAATCTGACTAGCCAATTATCTCTGGTCACCTAGCAATGTGACTAGCTAGCGATCTGATTATCTAATTATCTGAATAGATACTAACCTGAAGAGCCACTAATCTGGTCAGCTAGCAATGTGACTAACTAGCGATCTGATTATCTAATTATCTGAATAGATAGTAACATGAATAGCCACTAAGCTGGTCAGGTAGTAATGTGACTAGCTAGCGATCTGATTATCTAATTATCTGAATAGATAGTAACGTGACTAGCCACTAATTTGGTCACCTAGTAATGTGACAAGCTAGCGATCTGATTATCTAATTATCTGAATAGATAGTAACTAGAATAGCCAAATATCTGGTCACCTAGTAATGTGACTAGCTAGCGATCTGATTATCTAATTATCTGAACAGATAGTAACGTGACTAGCCACTAATCTGGTAACCTAGCAATGTGACTAGCTAGCCATCTGATTATCTAATTATCTGAATAGATAGTAACCTGAAAAGCCACTAATCTGGTCACCTAGTAATGTGACTAGCTAGCGATCTGATTATCTAATTATCTGAATAGATAGTAACCTAAATAGCCACCAATCTGGACACCTAGTAATGTGACTAGCTAGCGATCTGATTATCTTATTATCTGAATAGATAGTAACATGACTAGCCACTAATCTGGTCAGCTAGCAATGTGACTAGCTAGCCATCTGATTATCTAATTATCTGAATAGATAGTAACCTGAAAAGCCACTAATCTGGTCACCTAGTAATGTGACTAGCTAGCGATCTGATTATCTAATTATCTGAATAGATAGTAACGTGAATAGCCAATAATCTGGTCAGCTAGTAATGTGACTAGCTAGCGATCTGATTATCTAATTATCTGAATAGATAGTAACGTGAATAGCCACTAATCTGGTCAGCTAGCAATGTGACTAGCTAGCGATCTGATTATATAATTATCTGAATAGATAGTAACATGACTAGCCACTAATTTGGTCACCTAGCAATGTGACTAGCTAGCGATCTGATTATCTAATAATCTGAATAGATAGTAACCTAAATAGCCACTAATCTGGTCACCTAGTATTGTGACTAGCTAGCGATCTGATTATCTAATTATCTGAATAGATAGTAACCTAAATAGCCACCAATCTGGTCATCTAGCAATGTGACTAGCTAGCGATCTGATTATCTAATTATCTGAATAGATAGTCACCTGACTAGCCACTAATCTGGTAACCTAGCAATGTGACAAGCTAGCGATCTGATTATCTAATTATGTGAACAGATAGTAACCTTACTAGCCACTAATCTGGTCAGCTAGCAATGTGACTAGCTAGCCATCTGATTATCTAATTATCTGAATAGATAGTAAGCTGAATAGCCAATAATCTGGTCAACTAGTAATGTGACTAGCTATCGATCTGATTATCTAATTATCTGAATAGATAGTAACGTGAATAGCCACTAATCTGGTCAACTAGCAATGTGACTAGCTAGCGATCTAATTATCTGAATAGATAGTAACGTGAATAGCCACACAAATCTGGTCACCTAGCAATGTGACTAGCTAGTGATCTGATTATCTAATTATCTGAATAGATAGTAACGTGACTAGCCACTAATCTGGTCACCTAGTAATGTGACTAGCTAGCGATCTGATTATCTAATTATCTGAATAGATAGTAACGTGAATAGCCACTAATTTGGTCACCTAGTAATGTGACTAGCTAGCGATCTGATTATCTAATTATCTGAATAGATAGTAATCTGAATAGCCACTAATCTGGCCACCTAGTATTGTGACTAGCTAGAGATCTGATTATCTAATTATCTGAATAGATAGTAACCTAAATAGCCACTAATCTGGTCACCTAGCAATGTGACTAGCTAGCGATCTGATTATCGAATTATCTGAATAGATACTAACCTGAATAGCCACTAATCTGGTCAGCTAGCAATGTGACTAGCTAGCGATCTGATTATCTAATTATCTGAATAGATCGTAATCTGAATAGCCACTAATCTTGTCATCTAATAATGTGACTAGCTAGCGATCTGATTATCTAATTATCTGAATAGATAGTAACCTAAATAGCCACTTATCTGGTCACCTAGTAATGTGACTAGCTAGCGATCTGATTATCTATTTATCTGAATAGACATTAACCTGAATAGCCACTAATCTGGTCAGCTAGCAATGTTACTAGCTAGCGATCTGATTATCTAATTATCTGAATAGATAGTAAACTGAATAGCCACTAATTTGGTCACCTAGTAATGTGACTATCTAGCGATCTGATTATCTAATTATCTGAATAGATAGTAACGTGACTAGCCACTAATCTGGTCATCTAGTAATGTGACTAGCTAGCTATCTGATTATCTAATTATCTGAATAGATAGTAACCTGAATAGCCACTAATCTGGTCACCTAGCAATGTGACTAGCTAGCGATCTTATGATCTAATTATCTGAATAGATAGTAACCTAAATAGCCACCAATCTGGTCACCTAGTCATGTGACTAGCTAGCGATCTGATTACTGGGATTCTCTACTTCTAACTTAGATTACTTAGTGAAATACAACACCACCACCACCATCACCACCACCATCACCACCACCACCACCACCTTTACCACCATCATCACCACCACCATCACCGACACCATCACCACCACCATCACCACCACCATCACCGCCACCACCATAACCGCCACCACAATCACCACCACCACCATCACCATCACCGCGACCATCACCGCCACCACAATCACCACCACCACCACCACCATCACCTCCATCAACATCACCACCACCATCACCGCCACCACAATCACCGCCACCACAATCACCACAACCACCATCACCATCCTCCATCGGGGGAGTCCTCTCTAATTCCCAGAATTTAAGGCTGAGTGGACCGAGTGCAGAGACGGAGGAGGAGCTTGGCAGGGACTGAAGCGGAGCCCGGTTCATCGGAGTCACTGAGACACGGGGAGAGAGACACGGGGGGAGAGAGACACACAGGGAGAGAGAGACACGGGGAGAGAGAGAGACACACGGAGAGAGAGACACGGGGAGAGAGAGACACAGGGAGAGAGAGACACGGGGAGAGAGAGACACAGGGAGAGAGAGACACGGGGAGAGAGAGAGACACACGGGGAGAGAGAGACACGGGGAGAGAGAGACACGGAGAGAGAGAGAGACACACGGGGAGAGAGAGACACGGGGAGAGAGAGACACGGAGAGAGAGAGAGAGAGACACGGGGAGAGAGAGACACGGGGAGAGAGAGACACGGAGAGAGAGAGAGACACACGGGGAGAGAGAGACACGGGGAGAGAGAGACATGGAGAGAGACACACGGAGAGAGAGAGACACGGGGAGAGAGACACGGGGAGAGAGAGAGACACGGAGAGAGAGACACGGGGAGAGAGAGACACACGGGGAGAGAGAGACACGGGGAGAGAGGGAGAGACACACACAGAGAGAGACACACGGTGAGAGAGAGACACGGGGAGAGAGAGAGAGACACGGGGAGAGAGAGACACGGGGAGAGAGAGACACGGAGAGAGACATACGGGGAGAGAGAGAGACACGGGGAGAGAGAGAGACACGGGGAGAGAGACACGGGGAGAGAGAGACACGGGGAGAGAGAGACACGGGGAGAGAGAGACACGGGGAGAGAGAGACACACGGGGAGAGAGAGACACGGGGAGAGAGAGACACAGACGGGGAGAGAGAGACACACGGGGAGAGAGAGACACGGAGAGAGAGACACACGGGGAGAGAGAGAGACACGGAGAGAGAGAGAGACACGGGGAGAGAGAGACACGGAGAGAGAGAGACACACGGGGAGAGAGAGACACGGGGAGAGAGAGAGAGAGAGACACGGAGAGAGACACGGGGAGAGAGAGACACGGGGAGAGAGAGAGACACACAGAGAGAGAGACACACGGGGAGAGAGAGACACACGGGGAGAGAGAGACACGGAGAGAGAGAGACACACGGGGAGAGAGGGACACGGGGAGAGAGAGAGACACCGAGAGAGAGACACGGGGAGAGAGAGACATGGAGAGAGAGACACATGGGGAGAGAGAGACACACGGGATGAGAGACACGGAAAGAGAGAGAGAGACACGGGGAGAGAGACACGGAGAGAGAGAGAGAGACACGGGGAGAGAGAGACAAGGGGAGAGAGAGAGACACGGGGAGAGAGACACGGGGAGAGAGAGACACGGGGAGAGAGAGACACGGGGAGAGAGACACGGGGAGAGAGAGACACGGGGAGAGAGACACGGGGAGAGAGAGACACGAGGAGAGACAGACACGGGGAGAGAGAGACACGGAGAGAGACACGGGGGGAGAGAGACACGGGGAGAGAGAGACACGGGGAGAGAGAGACACGGGGAGAGAGAGACACGGGGAGAGAGACACGGGGAGAGAGACACGGGGAGAGAGAGACACGGAGAGAGACACGGGGAGAGAGAGACACGGGGAGAGAGAGAGACACGGGGAGAGAGAGACACGGGGAGAGAGACACACGGGGAGAGAGAGACACGGGGAGAGAGAGACACGGGGAGAGAGAGACACGGGGAGAGAGAGACACGGGGTGAGAGAGACACGGGGAGCGAGAGATACACGGGGAGAGAGAGAGACACGAAGAGAGAGAGACACGGAGAGAGAGAGACACGGAGAGAGACACGGGGAGAAAGACAGAGACACGGGGAGAGAGAGAGACACGAAGAGAGAAAGACACGGAGAGAGAGACACACGGAGAGAGAGACACGGGGAGAGAGACAGAGACACGGGGAGAGAGAGACACGGGGTGAGAGACAGAGAGAGACACGGGGAGAGAGACAGAGACACGGGCAGAGAGAGACACGGGGAGAGAGAGACACGGGGAGAGAGACACAGGGAGAGAGAGACACTGGGAGAGAGAGACACAGGGAAAGAGAGACACGGGGAGAGAGAGACACGGGGAGAGAGAGACACGGGGAGAGAGACACAGGGAAAGAGATACACGGGGAGAGAGAGACACGGGGAGAGAGAGACACGGGGAGAGAGAGACACGGGGAGAGAGACACAGGGAAAGAGATACACGGGGAGAGAGAGACACGGGGAGAGAGAGACACGGGGAGAGAGAGACACGGGGAGACAGAGAGCCACGGGGAGACAGAGAGCCACGGGGAGAGAGAGACACGGGGAGAGAGAGAGACACGGGGAGAGAGAGACACGGGGAGACAGAGAGACACGGGGAGAGACAGAAACACGGGGGAGAGAGAGACACGGGGAGAGAGAGAGACAAAGGGAGAGAGAGACACTGGGAGAGAGAGACACGGGGGGAAAGAGACACGGGGAGAGTGAGACACGGGGAGAGAGAGACACGGGGGGAGAGAGGCACGGGGAGAGAGAGACACGGGGAGAGAGAGACACGGGGAGAGAGACACAGGGAAAGAGATACACGGGGAGAGAGAGACACGGGGAGAGAGAGACACGGGGAGAGAGAGACACGGGGAGACAGAGAGCCACGGGGAGACAGAGAGCCACGAGGAGAGAGAGACACGGGGAGAGAGAGAGACACGGGGAGAGAGAGACACGGGGAGACAGAGAGACACGGGGAGAGACAGAAACACGGGGGAGAGAGAGACACGGGGAGAGAGAGAGACAAAGGGAGAGAGACACGGGGAGAGAGAGAGACACGGGGAGAGAGAGAGAGACACGGGGAGAGAGAGAGACACGGGGAGAGAGAGAGACACGGGGAGAGACAAGGAGAGAGAGATACGGGGAGAGAGAGACACGGGGAGAGAGAGACACGGGGAGAGAGAGACACGGGGAGAGAGAGAGACACGGGGAGAGAGAGAGACACGGGGAGAGAGAGACACGGGGAGACAGAGAGACACTCACAGAGCTGCAAGAGAGATGGAGCTCGGCATGTGAAAGAGGAAACCAGGTAGCATAATAAACTCTCTGAGGCGAGGCGAGGATGCAGGTGAAAAACAAGTCCCTCAAATTTTTATTTAAAGCTTTCGTGACTGCAGGAATTCATATTCTTAGTTCTGTCGGTAAAGTCACCACCATGTAGAAGGGAAACAATAAAATAATAATATAAAACAATAAAATTATCACGATGTTTCGACTCAAACACAAGAAGCAATCATCATCAGGGTGTGAAAACCACAGCAAGAAAAATTGGAAAATTTCGGCGTTTTTCTTGAACGTAAGCACCATGGAGAGCGATTTGACAGTTTTGTTCAGATGGACGAGTCCATTTATGTTCGGAAAAGAGGAGGGGGGGAGAGGAAAAATAATGGATGCGGTCAGAAAGCCACCGTAAGCGTGAACAATCAATTTAGACCCGAAATGGTTCATCAAATCCTTCCAATGATTGCTAAGCCAGAATCCATCTTCTCGGTTAAAATTGTGTCTCTGTGTTCGTATATGTGGATAGCCTCATGAACGAATCTCTCATGGTAGCCAGATGGCTTGCAGAGAACCTCTGTCTTGGAGATGTCGATATCATGTGAGCCTACTGAATTATAACAGTGATCTGCTACGGCCGAGGTGTTGGTCCTACCGTGTTTAAGGTCTGCTTTGTGTTCACGAATGCGGTCCGAGACATGACGTTTGGTTTCTCCAATGTAACTACTACCACAGAGGCAACTTAGTTTGTAGACACCAGGGTACTGTATGTCCGGAATCACACCTTTTACAGACGGAACCAGATCACGGATTTCCTGTAATGTGTTGAATCGGACCTGGATCTTGTGTTTATTCAAGATTTTGGAGATCTTTTTTGCGATCCCCACAATGTAGGGTAAAGTGATGGTTTTGAAAGGCTCCTCAAGAGGGTTCTTCATGTAAAAAAACACCACTTTTTTCAAAATTTCTTGTTGTGGTTTTCACACCTGATGATGATTGCTTGTGTTGCTGTCGAAACGTCGTGAGAATTTTATTGTTTTATATTTTTATTATTTTATTGTTTCCCTTCTACGTGACTTTACCGAAAGAACCAAAAATATAACTTGTCCCTCACTCGCAGGTAATGGAAACGCTTGGAGAACGGAGAGACAAACCCTCTACCCAGCATGTAGAGAGACACGGGGAGAGAGAGAGACACGGGGAGAGAGACACGGGGAGAGAGAGACACGGGGAGAGAGAGACACGGGGAGAGAGAGACACGGGGAGAGAGACACGGGGAGAGAGAGAGACACGGGGAGAGAGAGAGAGACACAGGGAGAGAGAGACACTGGGAGAGAGAGACACGGGAACAGAAAGACACGGGGAGAGAGAGACACGGGGAGAGAGACACGGGGAGAGAGAGACACGGGGAGAGAGACACGGGGAGAGAGAGACACGGGGAGAGAGAGACACGGGGAGAGACACGGGGAGGGAGAGAGACACGGGGAGAGAGAGACACGGGGAGAGAGAGACACGGGGAGAGAGACACGGGGAGAGAGAGAGACACGGGGACAGAGAGACACGGGGAGAGAGAGACACGGGGGGAGAGAGACACGGGGAGAAAGAGACACGGGGAGAGAGAGACACGGGGATAGAGAGACACGGGGAGAGACAGACACGGGGAGAGAGAGACACGGAGAGAGAGAGACACGGGTAGAGAGACACGGGGAGAAAGA